TGAGCATTTTTTTTAATATGAATATTGAGCAATTCATTTTATTTTAGGATGGATAATTCAATAACTTCGTCTCATAGTGTGCGTGAGAAGGTGTATATTGCTTAGTGTCACTATAATAAAAGTAAATATCCAGATGAAAAAATATAATTTAGATGCCTATATTATGAGATTATTTATAAAGGTAGAGACATTAATAGGATAAAACAATATTTAACAGGAATCAGAGATAATATAATTTTATGTAAAAAAGTCTCACATTATGTTCGTCATCAAATGCAAGAAAATATGAAAAAATAGGCTTAAAAAAGCATAGAAGGAGTTGGAGTAGAACTCAATTGTGTTTATTGATGAACATATGAATGAAGAAAGGAGCTCTATATGACTTCTTAAATTTCAATCTTTAGATGCACACTATGAAGATATTGATAGAGGAAAAAAGAAGATATATAACATATAAAATTTTTTTGCATCGAGAATTAAAGTAGGTTCTTAAGTCTTAACCATCCTTGAAAAGTGTAATGGAAGCTAAAGAAGCCATACGACATACACCATGCTGATTTGGCAGTAGCGACGTGATTTTATGACAATTGCATCTCATTTATTGTCATAAATTTTACTTTTACTTAAAATGTAATTGATGTTATAACTGCAATTAGACTTGAGTACAAATTGCCATCATATTATAAATTTAGAGTTAATCTTCTGAGATATTGTAAAGAAAAATATAAGTTGATTGATTCATACAGAAGATCATAGACATAAGTAGTTTGCACACTCATGTTTGATGGTTGAACATATAACAAGAATATGAACTTGATTAATTTTTTTGTTTACTGTTCAAGAGGTGAAGATTTCTTGAAATTCGTGGATGCTTTTATTATTACATATGATGTCAAGACTTTGTGTTCATTATTTTGTAAAATTGTGGAATGAGTTCGACCACAAAATATTGTGCAGCTTGTAACAAATAATGCTGCAAATTAGAAGAAGGCATCGAAACTACTACATGAAAGATTTGATAATATATATTGGTCTTTATGCTCAGCTCACTGTTTAAATATTTTTTTAAAGATATTGAAAACATGACTCATTTTTAGGGTCTTGCAAAATGAGCATCAAAAGTTACAATTTATATTTATAATAATAATTTTATTTTAGCTTGACTAAGAAAAAGAACTTGTTGGAAGAAAATTATTATGCATGGAGCTACTAGATTCGTTACAATATTTATTACTTTGAAAAGCATATATGATCACAAGTTCGAATTGCAGATTATTATAACAAGCAAACTTTACTCTGATTTAAAGATATCTAAAAAAGCAAAAGAGAAAGAAGTATCATCCATCATTTTAGATAATAAATTTTGGAATAACTGTTTGCTAACTTCTAAATTATCTGGATTTTTAATTTGGTTATTAAGAATTGTAGATTTTAATGAAAAATCATCTCTAGAGTTTCTTTATGTTGGTATGAACAGAGTAATCAGAGCTGTTAAGTTCATGTTTATAAATGTCAAAAGGATGTACAAAGCTTACATAAGTATTATAAATAATAGATATGATAGCCAACTAAGACAAGCTGATAAGGCATACACTGTACAATGTTATTTTTTAATCCCCGTTTTCCATATAATAAAGAAAATTTTTATTATAAACTTGAAGTGATGCAATATTTAATTGAGTTGATTAAAAATAAAAATATATGTCATAAACTATCAACAACAATGAATGAGATTTAGGCTTTTCCATGATATTTTACAAAGCTTTGGCAAACTAATTGCAATAATGATGACTAAAGAAACGCAGTCTGGTAAGTGAAGCAATAATTTTAATATGTATATCTTCTTTTATGCATATCAATCACCTATTAAATGACTGATACTTAATTATTTGTAGATGAATGGTAGAAGATGTTTGTATAAACTGCATCAAATTTATAAAAATTGGCTGTTAGAATTTTTATCCAAACATCTTCATCTTCTGGATGTGAAAGAAATTGGAGTGTATTTGAAAGAAATGAAATCATTTAGAGCATCAAAAACTTAATGATCTTGTATTTGTTTGATACAATCTCAATTTGAGGCATATGTATGACTGCATGACTTTTAATTATATTTAAATATTTTTGTATATAAAAATGCATAATTTTTTATGATGATTCATATTAATTTTATGGATTTAAAAAAAAAGAAACTATGATCATTTGGATTTTACAACTATATAGATGGTGAATTTTTGGGTGCTTGATGAAGAATCAGTTTCAGAGCTAGTTTTGGAGAATTTAGATACTAAAATTTATGTAGAAGATGTCATTCATATTGTTGAAGACGTAATTATTAATTGTATTAGAGAACCTCAAAGTTCTCAATTGAATTAAGCTATATAATTTGAAATAGATGTTCAATATATATATATATATATATATATATATGTTTATATTGTATAATCGGGTATTGAGGCGTTTTTCGTTCGTGAGGCGAGGCGTAAGCCTCAAAATCAAAAAATTGCGTAAACATAAAATGATAAATT